GGTAGGTAGGTAGGTAGGTAGGTAGGTAGGCAGGCAGGCAGGCAGGCATGCAGGCCGGCAGGCAGGCAGGGAGAGACAGACAGACAGACAGATTGATTTCCAGCCTCTGTCAGGGGCTTCTACTTTTTTGGTGCAGGTAGGATCGCTCTCTCTCTTTCCATTGCTAGCACATGTAATCACTAGGAATTACTGAAAAAATGCCTTTCTCTATCTGGTCAACCCAGCCTGGCCCTGGGCTATATTTTCAGACAGAGATGATAGAATATTAGTACGTGGCTTTTTAGCAAGAAATGGGATGGCCTAAAACACATGTAATAAAGGTAAAATTTGTGAATTGTGAATATAAATAGAGCAGTATGTTAATTATCTGCAAAAGTAGTCACACATTTCTGGTTTCATTTTGTAAGTACAGTATGTTTACATTTATTCTATGAGATAACCCTTTACAAATCAATATACTCTCAGGTAGATATTTACCTGTTTTCATGTATGCACCATCCTGCTGTAATTTTGTTAAGATTAACTCCTTACCACGGACTGGCACATACTGCTTCTTCCAATAGGCGATTCCAGTGCATTTGTCTTCTAAAAAACAGGCTGACTTGGCATGTTCCATATTTATATACATTCTTTCCCCCAAAGGCAAAATAAGTAACTTTCCATGATATTGCCAAAACATCTTGGCATCTGAAAGATATTTTTTAAAGGATTTAATTATTTTTCTTTGTACTATCCTAGATAGTACAAAGTGTTGTGCCTATAGTCAAGCATGGTGGTGGGAGTGTCATGGTCTGGGGCTGCATGAGTGCTGCCGGCGCTGGGGAGCTACAGTTCTTTGAGGGAACCATGAATGGCAACATTGGTAAAGGCCCCAATGCTGGGTACTTTCAAAAGCCATCTGAAAACATGGATGTACATCCAGGCCTTCCCTCCTGTCAACTACTGATTTCTTTGCTTTGCTATTTATTATTTATTTATTCCTGCACTATTTGTTATTGTTGTATGCTAATGTTTTTATGTTTTTTAAAATTGTTTCTGATATTCTGTAAGCTACCCAGAGTGTTAGAATATACCAGATGGGTGGGATATAAATCGAACAAATAAAATAAAATATATAATAAATAAACATGTACTGTGACATACTGAAACAGAGCATGATCCCCTCCCTTCAGAGACTGGGCTGCAGGGCAGTATTCCAACATGATAATGACCCCAAACATGCCTCCAAAACGACCACTGCCTTGCTAAAGAAGCTGAAGGTAAAGGTGATGGACTGGCCAAGCATGTCTCCAGACCTAAACCCTATTGAGCATCTGTGGGGCATCCCGAAATGAAAGGTGGAGGTGCGCAAGGTCTCTAACATCCACCAGCTCTGTGATGTCGTCATGGAGGAGTGGAAGAGAACTCCACTGGCAACCTGTGAAGCTCTGGTGAACTCTATGCCCAAGAGGGTTAAGGCAGTGCTGGAAAATAATGGTGGCCACACAAAATATTGACACTTTGGGCCCAATCTGGACATTGTCACTTAGGGGTGTACTGACATTTATACTACAATATTTATGAAATGTGAGGGGGTGTACACACTTCTGTGATATACTGTAATAAATTTCTAAAAGTAGTCTGAATTGTAGGCCATACCAGAATATTTTGAAACTGCAAAAACTGGTGAATGATTATATTTTGATCAGCATGTGAGTGAAAGGAATGTGGATCTAGTCAGCTCTGAATACGTAAATATATCATTTTTCAATCATTTAATTGGGAATCCCAGCATTTTAATCTTACCTACATCCCTTTTACAAACCCATGCAGCCAAAGAAGTGCAAGGAACATGTCTAACGGTCCCATTCCTATCTATCTGTGGACAGGTTGAAAAAGATTGCCTATATATCTCTTCCCTAAAAAGTAAAAAGACAAAGTAAGCAAGGTTTAACATCAAGTATACAATCATGCAGCTTACTTCCAATTTAAACTGTAGTAGATTAAATGTAATAGAGCTATACCAAAATATAGAGAAAGTCTGAAAACAAATTCATGAGGAATAGACTGAAACAAATCATATGAAAAAAGGTCTAGAACACCACCCTCCTTTGAAATTATGGAACATCAGAAAGTATTTTCCTTTTGCCAGAAGGTCAAAGATTGGTGCAATTATGCCTCCAGTTCTGGATCTATTCATTCTTCTGGGAATTTTTATTCCACCTTTTAGCCCAAATGGATTTTCCAGGGCAGCTTACAGTATTCTGAACACGATAGTAGAATCTATCCGTATCCTTGGACTGCCAAGCAAAGGGCAGCATAACCAGGACAGCAGGGAGAAGGCCAATCCAGCTTTGAATGGAAGAGAGTTCCACAGCCTGGGATCAGCAATTCAAAATGCCCCTTCCCGTGTCCTCAGCAAATGTGCAGATGAGGGCAGTGGGACTGAGACAAGGACTTCTCCTGAATCTCTTAAAACTGCCGGGTGCTTATATGGAGAGAGAAACTCCTTGACATGACCCATGTCATATAGGGCTTTGTAGGTTATAACCAGCACTCTGAATTGGGTCTAGAAATTGAATGGTAGCCAGTGAAGTGGTTATAATAGGGAATTATATGCTCCTTACAACAAAACATAGTCAACTGTTTGGCTGTAGCATTTTTGAAGAGGTCAAGTTTTTGAACACTTTTGAAAAACAACTCCACCCACAGCTTATTGATGTAATCCAAGCAAGGCATAATTAAAACTACATGTCATCATGGTCAAATCAGACATCTCAAGGAACAGGCACAGCTGCTGCACTAGGTTTAACAGTTCTGATGCACTCTTTGCCACCAGCAAAAACTGGGCATCCAGGCTTAGGAGCGATTCTAGCAATAAACACAAAATGGGAATCTGAGCTTTCTGGGAGAGTGTAACTCCATCCATCTCAATCTGAATCCCTATTCCCTGATCTGCCTTTTGCCTGACAGGAATGCCTCTGTTTTTCTGGGTTAAATTTAAATTTGTTGGCTGTCATCTAGTTCACTAGCAACATAAGACACCATCACGAACAGTGTCCTTGGAGTTAGACAGAAATGAGATATCGTATTGGGTGTCACCAGCATACTGGCATCTCCAAAATTCCAGACAACAACTAAACCCTGAGGGATCCCATGTGCCAAAGGCCAGAGTGTCAAACAGACTGCCCCAGCACTGCCTTCTAAGGTTGTCCCTCCAGAAACAATCATTTAAAGTCCCACCACAAAGATGTGACTCAAAAGGATACTATGGCCAATGGCATGACAAACCACCAAGAAGTCCATCAGAGCTAACAGGGGCATGCTTTCTTGTCCAGTCTTTGCTGTAGGTCATCCACAAAGATTAGCAAAGCTGTTTCTATTCCATAACCAGGACTGATGCCATATTGTAATCCATCTGGATAATGCATCTCACGCCAAAACCCCAGAGCTGAGAAGTTGGAACTGAGTTCTGTTGTAGAAAGTTCAGCACCACTAAATGAAAGTTATGTACTCTGTGTTATTTCTGCAGTCCTGGCGTTTACTTCACATCATGCATCCAAATGTGCCTAAAAACTTTTTAATGAAACCAGTACAATTTCACTTACAGGTTACTTGTGCCCTTGGCTTTTGTCACTGCTGAGCCAAGCCATACGATTTCCTTTAGCACAGATGTGAGCCAGATCTGCAAATGAAAAGGCAGGTTATTTTCTTGACAATGTGCACATCAACAGCATATGTCTACAGCCCTTTGGCCCTCTTTTCACTTTCTCCCTCAGCAAAATGTGCTTGCAACGATAAACAGAAAAATAGTGCAGCATAGGAAATAACTAATTGGAACAGAGGATCTCCCTTTATCTTTTCATACTAAGCATTTTTGGTAAGAGCTTATTGTATGTTCAGCACAAAAACATATTGTATAATTGAACAAATATAGCCTTGACAATTAAGTCAAGAAAACTGACCAAGGGGAAATAATGATACAGCTCTTTCTTCTAGAAATTCAGTTTGACTAAAAATGTAGTTATGATCTTGGTATGGTAATAGTAATTACTGACATATATGAAGACATTGTACTAATATAACTGTCTTTGCAATCCCTTTTATCTTCTCTTAGATTCCTAGTTATAAGTAAATAGATCGTACTATCTACCAGTTAAGTTGAACTCAGCCTGTTCTTTGAGAGTAGTCTACAAACAATCAAACATGTGATTGGCTAACTGGGTTCAAAAGGGCAGGACCTCCTATGACAAAGATTATTTGGTGAATCCCTTTTGTTACTTATTGATAATGTCTGGCCATAATTAGAGAAATGCCCTTGAGGAATGGCCCCTTTATCTTCAGTGCAGAATCACAAATACATACTTGAAATATGGATTTTGAATAGTAATAGATGGATGAGAGTAGGATTTCCTGTACTGAATTCCACACCAAAAAAGGGCACTTACAAATAACGAATGTTTGTTTCTTTCTTGGAGTAATGTCAGACAAAATCAAACAAACGAAAGACTAGCTAATTATCTTGGCAGGAAATTACACTACCTACCGGAGCACTGGACATTTGGTGGGAAGTTAGGAATGGGCATAATATCACAAATAGCGTTAATATTAAATGCTATTTATTTATATGTTGGAATTAACTTGATGGCACATTATTTTAGGTTAATAAGGGAGAAATTTCTAGTCCTTCTCCTGAACTAAACATACCTACAACACTTTCCAATCTGAAGGTTTTTCAAACATTTTACGTTATTTTTCCATATATAAGATGATATTTTTGTATGAAATTTTTAGACTAAAAATTGAGAATCATCTTATACTAAGAAATAAGCCGAGGAGAGAACCACACAATTGCAAAACTTGCCTCTGTAAACAGGCTTTCTCCAATCATGAGGCTTAGCTTCCTACAGCAGGAGACCTAGCTTCCTCCAATCATGAGCCTTGTGGAACCGACCTCAGGTGATCCTGAACAAACCAATTGGAGCACACCTTGTCGGAGGTGGAGCATGCAGGCAGTGCTCAGATGCATCAGGGACTGGTAATGCCCAAGTGTTCTGAGCCCAGAGGCTGAATAAAGTGATATGCTCAAAGCTAAGGTGATGCATAATATGACAGTACTAGTATGCAAATGTTACCTAATTACTAAATTAAAATGTCTTCTTTTTATGTTTAAAATATTGATTTCTTAATTTTGGGTTAGAAAAGTGGGGGCGTCTTATACATGGGGGCATGGGCATCTTATACACAGAAAAATATAAGTAGGAAAATTGGTATTTAACAACAATAACAATTTCAAGTCGCATTAATATTCCAAAGACTCCTGATACTAGAGATGGGCACCAAACCTGGTTTGGAGGTCTGTGCCGGTTCGTATGCATGGCACCACAGGTGCCCTGAATTCGCTTTCCCTGCCTTCCTAGCTGGATCCCCACTCATCAGCCAGCACATGCTCCTCTCCTCCTCCTCTTCAACTGTTTGGCCAGTCTCCAGCTGGAGCACAGGCTTCCCTGCCTCGCCTCCTTGGCTGATCACCCACTCAAGGAGGCAGGACAGGCAAGCCCATGCTTTTGGTAGGGGCTGGTAGAACAGCTGAAGCGGAGGAGGAGAGGAGTGTGCACCAGCTGGTTAGTGGGTGATTGGTTGGGGGGGGAGGTACTATGTGGCAACTGTGGTGCCATGCATATGAACTGGCACAAACCTCCAAACCGCGCCATTTCTGAGGCCCATCTCAAATTGTAGATGGCTATTCATCAGACATGTCTTGCTTTGAAAATGTATGCCAAATAACTCTTCTCAAATGGCTGTTTACATATTTCACACTATCTTTTCATTGCCGCATCAACTTATGCATGCTACCTTTTCCTCTTTGGTTTGTGGCAGTGGCAGCAGTTCAGTTTCATGGTAAGCCATGCAGAAATTTTTCGCTTCTTCCCAGGTCAAGTGCTTTGCTGTCTCTATGTAATAGCAGTTGCCTCTCCAGTACCACCATCCAGGATCTTTGGGACACTTAAGGTTGATCACACCTGAGAAATGAATAGCAGGAGCATTTAAATAGCCGTTATTTATGAGCAGCTGAACAATCCAACAATCCAAATTCATTTTCTTCCCTGAATGCCACTATAGGTAGCTGTGCTGCTGAACTGAACGGGTCACCATCTTTTGCCACCAAGACAACCAATCTTGGTTAAATTGCAAATGTAATGACCACAGCAATGTCTTGATAACTTATTAGCTGAAGGAAATCCACTGCTGAAAAACATTTCAGCTCAATACTCCACGTTTCATATA